GGTATTGCACTTGCTCACCTTATTTCATCTCGTAAAAACTTTGAATCTATTCAGTACTAGTTTTATAATCTTTGTATTTAATTTTCTGATTGGTGAGAGCCTACTGCATTTTTTGTTAATTGTGATCTTGCACAAATTAAGGCCCTTCATATAGTATTTCCTGAAAGTATAATATTACTTTGCTAGTGGCATGTCACAAAAGCTTGGTGAGAAAATCTTAATAAGGTTAGTAAGGATAAGGCTAAATTATTAGAATATAAGCTTGCAGTTGATGAAAAAAAATTATTAGAGAATGAGCTGTTTGAGAATCTAAAATATCTAATGAAAGTTGATGAAATAAGTATTGCTGATGAAGTGTTGGCAGCTTTTTTTAAAAAATAGAAAGATTCAATAATATTTATTACATACTTTAAATGACAATGGCTTAATGAACCAGACAAATATGATAACCTTCATGGTATTGACAAAGTTATGCAGATAAAAGCTTATTGTACTGGAGTTCCAAGTGCTAATATGAATATAACAAATATGCTAGAATCTTGGTATAAACATCTTAAGTATAGTAATTTTGAGGGAAAAGTAAATAGGCGTATGGATACCTTAATTTATGAGTTGTATATAGTCATAGAAGGTGATACTCGATAGCAGCAATAGCTTGCTGAAGTAAGAGCAGGACATATAATGCCAGCTGAAAGAGAAACTTACAGAAGACAAATAAAAAAAACAAGAATTAGCAAATACAGTACTAGAGAATATAATTGGTAGTCACTATTGGACTATAGCTTCAGAAACAAAACTAGGTATTAGATATTGTGTAAAAAAAAAATTAGAACATAATCAGTTAAACAAAAAATTTTTTTGCAATTGCCCAGATTTTTATATTCAAAACCTTCTATGCAAACATATTTATACTGTAATCATTTGCCATTTTTCTTTGCCTCAAAAAATGTTAAATCTTCTCATCAGCCACTGCAACAAGCAAGCTATCAACAACAGCCTACAACCGAGATGCTTATTGATAATATACAAAAAATGACACATAACAATTATAGAACTAGAGGTTGGAACCGGTTTTAATAATTCGGGTTTATCCTGTGAATTTTGTGATATCTTAGAATTTAATCCAATTAAATTTTAATAAATTTTAAAATATCACAAAATTCAAGTGATAAACTTGAATTATTAAAGCCGGATCCAACTTCTATATAGAACATGTCCACATATAAGAGCTTAGAATGTTGTTACTTATAAATCAAATGAGTTGACTCATCTAATTTTATATATAAATTTATGCAAAAAAATTATTTAAATTAAATTTATTTAAAAACATGTATATAAATCTTTCTTTAAATTTTAAATA